AAACTCGACCTGACACTCTGCTTCACTGCCAGCGGACTCATCTGCGGAGAATGGAGAAGATTTTTGCAATTAGGTGCATCAAATCAAAGAAAATTAATTTCTAATTTCGTGTGCATCGCGTGAGGCATGAGAAGACAGCGGCAGCAACAACAATTCCTCCTCGAATGAAAAATTATGAAAATAAACCATAGAAAAATCAACATAATCCAAACAATTGGCAGACGAAAATCGTAAACAAGTCGACATGATGATGATGTTGATGGGATGATGATGGGATGGTGCAGCAGCTGCTTTCAGATTTTATTAGGAATTGTTGACACATTGAAAGAATGATCCACAGGGGTGCAAAACAGGGACAGGGAACACGACCTGGTGACAGAAATAGCTGGCGTCTGGGACCAGAAAACAAGATGCCCTTCACCTTTGCAAGTTATTAAAACAAACAAATCTTGAGTGGATTCTATTGAAATTTAAAGCAATGAAATTATGAAGCATGAAGCAGAAACATTTAATGCAGGAAAGATCCTGGTGTTTAATTGATTAAAGATACTTAAAAAGTCTCTGTGGAACCCATTCAATATTTGACAATATAGGCAAATCATTCACTACTTCCACCACTTCAGCATGGGAGAGCACACTCAACCCGTACGTACGCTGCATATAGCCATCTAGCAGCCCCATCCTCAACCCATTCTCATCTCACCAACGGACAAGCAAATGTCATTAATTTAAAAAGCCACAGAACGTAGACGTAGACGGGGCAGTGGCAGTGTATCTGGGTCGTTGTCGGCTTTTGTGCAATGCGAAAAAGAAAATCCGTACATGCCGGCAGCGGGACCGGGTCCGAGTTTTGTCTACTACTCAGGGCCTTGATGCAATATTGTAAACGCGAAATTTAATTAGAGCGCAATACGATGATTACCATCAAGCGGCAAGCAAGGTTAAAGTCAGCCGGGAATGGGTGGGAAAAAATTGGTGTGTGGCGTATGATAAATTGGGATTTGAGCAACGTATAATTAAAGCCAAATGGAATTAGGGGTAATTAGAGCTACGATGGGGAAGCCAATCAAATGGAAATCCTATTAAGGAAAGAATTCTCTTTAAGGAGAACTCTCAAGAATTCTACAAAATGTGTGGAATTCAAGAGAATTTTGACTACAACGCAATAGTCCACCGTCCACACAATATTTTGGCAGAACAATGTACGACATACCTCCGCACTCATGGCCTGCAAATGCTCCATTTCGTGGGCACTAACTTGGCTCAGGTTCACATTGATGTCAAGCAGAAGCTTTTGAATGGTCTCCCTGCCGCTGGGCAGTGGATGCGGAGCCGGATCCGAAATGCCCAAATCCAACAGATTGCTGTGATCCTCTTCCAGTTGCAGCAAATCCTCTGTAGCCGAGTCCAAGAGTTGCTTCAGATCCGTGTGGGCAGCCATGCTGGCCCGTGGTTCGGAGTCCGTCGACGACTGAATGCCGTTACTGGTGCTGCTGGCGTCTGTTCGGCCCAAGCTCAGGGGCCGTTTGATAATGTTTGCGATGAAATCCATGCCGGAGAACTCGCACAAAATGTCTCAACGCACGATTAACTTTCTCGAGACGTTCACGGTTTACGGTTCACTACTTTGCACTTAATTCCATAAAAGTGCTCAAATTTCAGTGATTTATTTTCAATACATGTTCAACATTCTGATGTTCTAATATGTGAGGACTTGCCTACTTTTTCGATTGTTATTTTTATTTATTTATTCTATTTTTCGTATATATATTGAATAATAGCTGAGATTCTCTGGCGACCTGGCGCCGCGTGTGTTTCTCGCTGGCTACTGCTCCGTTCGGGTCTGTCTTTGAAATCAATTTAAAAATATTTTCGTTTTCAATTTGCTCAGCGTCGTATATTTCAGTGCATTCATGTGTGTATTTGTGTGTGTGTGTGTGCTGAGAGAGAGGAACAGCGCTGACTGGTTCGAGTGGCATCCACAAAAACGATCCGGATATGTGTTTGGGTCTCTGGTGATTTTTCAGCCCACATGGGCGATCTCCTCATTATCAGAGTGCTCGTCTGCTCACTGGCTCCTGTGATCATTAACTATCACTGAATGAACGTGAGGATAAGCCCGAAAGTCCACATCCCATTTTACAAACACTCTGCAGCATTGCCGATCACTTAACTGACGCGAAAGCACGTGGGGGCGAACAAATGCAATTCAATTTATCTAAGAATCATAATTGAACTCGTACAATTCTATTGATTTCGTTAATGAGTGCAATTCTACAGCTCAGATGGCGAACCGTCTTGGGGGAATTACAGAGGCAAACTGAGGCCTAGAGTCAGACAAGACTCAGACTGAGGCAAAAGTGCAAAACAATGCAAATACTTACACCGAAACATGGAGAAAGAGGGAGCAAAAATAGGGCACCAAATAGCGACCGCGAGGCTAATGAATGAAAGTGTTAAAAGACAGTCAGTTGCTGCTGGAGAACCCTGTACTTCCCACAGTGTGTGTGTGTGTGTGTGTGTGTGTGGATGTGGATGCCAAGTGACATGCAATCCCATAGCCGGCAGCCGCAGCGGGCCCATTGTTGCGCATCGTGCACTCGAGGAAGTGCTCCACATTGCTCCACGGCTGACTTTGCATATTTTGAGAGAAACGGAATATCACATGATGGGACACAGACACCGACGCAAACCCTGATCTTAAGAAGGGGCGATGCGATGCATGACAGGTGACAAGATATGTAACTGAACGGCGCAGCGCCGAGTGGAACCCAATCAGGAAATGAAGTATAACGAGGAGCGAAGCTATAGCTTGGAATGTAATTCGAATACTCTTTGGCCAAGGCATTACATATGTTTCCCAACTAAAGCAAGCAAATGGGGAAAAGGCAGGCAGCTATAAAACATAAATAGACTATAAATAGCCGAAAACAAATGCAGGCAGCGACGACTGAAATGTGGGGGAGTCTGCAATGCATTCATATTCTCCTTCCAGAACGACGTTGGTGGCAGAGGGGAGACACTTTTTGATCGCTTGTGTACGATGACCTTTTGGCAGGGGCTGGGAGACAGCACCCTTGAAGCATTTACCCTTCCAAGAGAATCACAGATCCATCTGCCAGATGCACAAATCCCGAGAGTGCGCGCTTCGTTAGCCGTATTTATTTTGGTCTTCACTTGGGCCAAGTCAATTTTTGGCACGCTTTGCCAGCATCTGGACTCTGTTTCGCCAGCCCACCATGCGAAATGTCAAGAGCACATATCCCCGACCGAATAAGATGCGGCCAAAATGGGCAGATTGTATTAATGGTATCTCTCTGTACGATGAATATTCATATTGCATACCAGCGTGCCTTGCCAAGTGTCCGAGTTCACTGATGCCTTGCCTGGTCTATTACCCATTGAGGGTGTACGTATTTTGATCACTGGTAAACGTCCGAACGCTGCCAGATATGGAACACACTGATCGAATGGGGGACGCAGGCAACTCCTCCAAAGCAAAAGCGACAGCTGCCATAAAACTGCACCAACAGAAAATATACTACTAGAAGAACGAGAGAATTACTTGTAGCAGACCGAGCATATGCAGGGCGGCGCATGGTCACGTCACGGCACAGAAACCAAACAATGCCAATTCGAAATTGCGGAGGGGACGCCGACTTCGACGCCGACGCCTTAATGAAAGAAAGTGAATATTTTTTGGCTAAATCGGTCGAAGGGACACGCCCACAGCTGGCTGAAGGCTGCCACTGCGCATTGCCTTACCTTTGTACCGCCATCGTTTTTGTTGATCTCCCGCAAGACACTGCGGCTGCCGGGACCCAAGCCCAAGCTATTGTCGGCCGAATTGAATTCCATGGCATATACTGAGCTCCAGCGTATTCTTATTTACAAAAGACGTTAAATGAACTTTGTATAACAATAATTAACAATTTATTTAGCACGATACGGTACTTTGGGACGCTATTTAGTTTTTTTTTTTTCTTTTGACAAAATGCCGCTATTTAGTTAAAATTTATTATTTAGACTCACTCGAAAATATACCGCGGAATAGGGTTGTCAAATATAGATTAAAATATCAATATATCGATATTTATTAAAATAAAAATATTTTTAAGTCGTGATATTTTTTGACAAAATATCAATATATTCATATATTTATGCGATATTTTTTTATATTTTAATTTCCGTAACTAACCACAGGATCTTAATAAATATATATAGGGTATCATGTATTTTTATATGTATGTATGTGACGCACAGAAGGAAATGTTCCGACCCCATTAAGAATAAATAATCTGTTAGTAGTAATAATCAGCATCAACCTCTGGAGGATTTTCGTACTGTAAAAAAATCTGTGGGTGTTTTGTTACTGAAAAGAATTATGTACGTAAAGCGAAGAATAGTTGAATAAGTCAAGTTAAAAACACAGAAAAGTGGAATAAGGATTTACGATGTTAAAAAAAATTGTAAGGATTCTGTGTTCTGTGTGGGAGTTATTTATTTCCGATGCGCACAGAATTGAATTTAGCAAATAAGTACAAGCAAAAATATATCAAATATATCGATATTTTTGCAGTGATATATTTTATATTATTTTGAAATATTTTCCAAGCAAAATTCATCACCGATATGATATTTTTTAAATATTTGTCAACCATACCTTTAAAACGTGCTAAGCAGTGAATCGTTAAATATTTTCCTCGACTTTGATGTTCTATTTGATATTACTAGCTAATTAGGACTCTAAGCGCTAAAAGTGTAGTTTTATCCGATGTGGCAATCAATTCTGCACAAGATTGGCTAGTTTGGACTTCCTTTTATTTGGAATGTTTTTAAATAGTCAGTTGGCAAAGTCTATAGTCAAAAGTATATAAATTGTATTTTTAAATAAATGTGCCAATCGATATCTGATTACACCAAGTTCAAGTGAGACTAGTGAGACATTTTGAGGACAGGGTTGCCGCTTTGTGCCACTAAAGTTTGGTTCGGTTCGGTTCGGTTCAGTTCATTTGATTCGCTTTGCGGTTCAAATAGGCAGTTGCTAAAGAAAAAAATACGAACGAGAAAAGAAAATTTGCGATGGACGCTTGCAAGAATATTATCGAAGTGATGCTCAACAAGGTGCACGCGGCCTATGCCTGGCCCTTCTACAAGCCGTTCGATGCTGAAATTTTGGATCTGACCGACTACCACGACAAAATCAAGAAGCCCATGGACCTGGGCACCATCAAGCTCAAAATGGAGGACGGGCATTACAGCCGCGTGCTTGAGTTTGCGAGCGATGTGCGCTTAGTATTCACCAACTGCTACAAATACTATCATCCGGTGACTGATTTTGTTGGCATGGCCCAGAAGCTGCAGCACGTCTTCGAAGTGCTCTTCGCCGAAATACGCGACGAACCGGTGCCCAATGTGGTCCACGACACGCACACGCAGGGCAATACGCATCATGGCGAATCGGACTTGCAGGATTACTACGCCAAGATCAAGGTCCTAGAGTCCAAGTTGGACATGACCTTTTCCAAGCAAGCTCAAGGCCAAAAAGAGAAGCAACGATGAACAGACGCTGGTGGTCAAGAAGGAGATTTCTGACCTGAAGGCTGAGTTGAAGCGTCTCCAAGCTGTCTCCAACGAGAAAGAACGACGTAGACGTCAACGCATAAGTTATGTAAGTAATATTTCTTCACCATACCTTTACATACAGAATTAATATTAAATTATTCCCTCGCTCAGTTGCTAGACCAAATGGACCTGAACCTTGAATCTTCTAGTAACTCCGAAGGAGATGTTGTTTAACGTGAAGGTGAACTGCGGAGGACAGAGAGTAAACAGTAGTAGCAGAGATTCCATAGCGATTGGATTGTGATCCCAAGGTTCCTTTAATGGATCGGTGTAAATGCAGCTCAAGTTTGGTGGCAAAGGCAACCAATTCTGGCCTCAAAATCATAAGTAGAGCCTTGGCATTCTTCTCCTTTTGTAGTGCAACGCCAGATTGATAGTTCCGGAATCACGGCGGTGCTTTCTGGAGGTCTTGCCAGAGTGTTGGCTACCTTTGGAATAGACTGAACGAGGCTCACACGAGGTCTTTGCCAAAGACAGAAAGGCATCCATCGACTGGCCCTCAGCCCTGCCGTCCAGCTTTAGATTTAAATGCACATTGACAGGAGACTTGCGGAAACCATTGAGCAGGCAGTGGATGGCATCCACAGCAGCTCAGCTGACATGTTCTGAGCACCTACCTTCTGCAGCCATGGCCATCAATTGGTTTGTAAGTCTGTAAAGGACCGAATGAAGCAGGAAGAAATATTCCCAATAGAACACAGAATATTATTTTAGACTGCATGGCCTCTAAACTAATGGTATACCAATGCGAATTCAATCACAATGAGGAACTTTTCTTAGCCAGAATTTATTCCGCATGACCATAGAAGTTGAATCAGTTGAATAGATAAAACTGATTCAACTTCTATTCCAAATTATATAACGCGTTTATTGAAAACGCTGTGACGGCTGTGCTGGTTTGTTGTTTAGAAGATCTTAGAACATCCTAGACAATCTTGGGACCTTTCTAAGGAATTTACACAATTTCTGTACACTTTATTGCAATTATTTTGGAAATTGCTGAAACTGGAATGCTGAAAAATAGAGAGAAACGGATTTATTTGATAAATCCGTACAATAACAGCGTACTGTTGGCTACTGATTTATCTATATGTCTGCGAATCTTCACTGGATCTTCATCATTTTCTCTAACAGCCATGTTGTTGCAGGGTTGCATTTTTTATTTTATATTCCATAAAACTTGAATGAAGTCTTTGCTTATTCTTAAAGGTAATTTTTGTATGGTTCTGCCTGCTTATGTCCCTCAACAGTAAAAGTTTGAGTTACGTTCATTGAATTTTATTGAAATTTTGCGAGTTAATACAAAACCGAAAATCTAAATTATTGCAATTAACATTAAAAACGCCCGCTCACCGTTACAATGCCACTGAAAACATGTTTTAATACTATGGTTAACTGATTTTACAATTACTAGACGAGAGTGTCTCGGTTCTGTTCTCGGTCTACAAAAATGTAAAATAATATATTTAGTCACATTTAAAATTGCATAAATTCTAGACAAGTTTAGATGTTATAGTATGTCGTAAATATTTTTGTTTGTTTTGGGAGAAATTCTCATGCATAAAATGTTTTTTGTATTTCCTCTGTTTTGTTTGTTTTATATTTTTTACGTGGTTGTAATAATTTGGAATTATGCTTTATATGTTTTAAATTTTTTATTGCATTTGCATTTTATGTAATTAAATATATATAACGTACATCACAGCAAAACTTTATAATTTTTTTTGTTTTGTTATTATTATTGTTTTTTTATTATACTATAAATATATTTGTATGATAAGCTTTTGATTTTTGTTTGGAAAGTGTTTGGAAAACAATAAACCAGAAGGAGTTTGATCAAAAAGAACTATTGATGGAAACACGTAGTTGGTGCTGGAGATATAGAAATAACTGAAGAGGTACTCGTAAATTGAATCCGGATAGAAAGGAAATTGTCATTTGTGTTCTATATCTGTTTCCGTTTTTGGTTTAACTTGGTTGATTGAACTTTTATTATAGTATATATGTATGTATACTCGTAAGTAAGTATGTCAGTGCACGTACAAAAGGTATTCAATTCATTGTATATATAATTACTTCACTTTATCGTAACTTTCTGTTATTGTGACAGAAAGTAAAGTTTTTTATTTAATTTATCCTCCGTTGATGTTCCTACTAATAAAATTCTAGAAAAGCACAACACCTTTACAATGGTCTTTTGGAAATACCATTCATTTATGTAGATTAAAAATAAATACACACACATTTGACATATACAAATACTAGGTATCAAGATTTCTGTAGTGCATAGCGTTTACAAGGATTTGCGAACATTCTTTTGGGGCTGCGACAAGGTTTGGGCTGTGGAGTGATGGGCCCGGCCCCGAAGTGCAATTCGCCCGGCGCAAGCAACATGGAAATGCACAACAAATGTGGTTTACTGCTCCTAAGAAGGCTATGTATGCACGTATGTATATCCCCATTCTCACAAAAAATCAATGCTATTCATATGTGTACAATATATACTCGTATATGCTATAAAAAGTTGAGTTAGTTTCAATGGTTTTTTCGTTTTGTTTTTGTTTAATACGAATGGAGGGCAGGAATCATTTCAATTTACTTGTTATTCTGGTTGTTTTGTTTTCCTCGTTTGGTTTTACATATGTTTAGCTATCATGTCAATTGGTTATGTACCACATATGTATGTACATGCATGCGTATATCGATCGATAGATGGATAATTATTGTATCGTACTTGTACATGTATGTATATTGGTAAAAATTGTTGTTCGCTCTCCGGTTTTCGAGTTGAAAGTTTTACAGTTGAGACAGGCTAGTGCGCGTAGTTTGCTTGAATCGTATATCAATTTCAGAAGGAAACTCTCTATGTAAGTACTAAACAGTATCTACATACTCATATATGTAATATTTTGTTTTCTTTATTTTGTATACGATATTCGTAGCTATGCATCTGATGCTCGGCTCAGTTTGGTTACGTTGCTGTAATTTAATTGTTTGCCATTCTAAAAGACAAGTCACATTGATTCAAGGAGGTTTGGGTGTAGAGCTACAGACGTTACAGTTTAAAGGCAAAAGTATTTACTACGGAAGTGTTTTTGGGTGAGTGAGGAGAACGGTTCAAGTTCCCACCCCCGGAGAAGTCCAAGTTCGATTACAAATAATTGTGTAGTTCTCTTAGTAATTGCATTATAGTTACGCTCACATCTACTACAAGTACTCGTACATTTATCAAGCCCACCAATATACATCTACTTATGCATGTTTTTGCTGGATCATCTCTAAACTGTCTGCTAAATTCATATTACGGCGTCTTCCATCCGGCTGTGCGTGCTTGTATATATACTATGTATGCATGTGTGTATCTATATATTATATTTATATATATATATATATATATGTATATTTGCTGAAACGTTTGTCGTCGTCCGCTCATCTGATTTAGTCGATTTTAAAGATTGCTTATATGTTTCAAGGTTAGTTGCTTCCATTTTTAGTTACTTATATTCTCAAACAGTAGAAACAAAAATATACATATCTATATATCTATATTTGTTGCTGTTTTTTTTTAAGGATATTTTCCATTTCTTTTTGTTTTGTTTTGTTTTGTTTTTGCTTAGTGCAAGAAGAAGGACTTCTTCAGTGGGTTCAGTTCGTACAATAAGTAGATATAAAATGCAATGCACTATATATATGTATATGTATATGCTTTTTTTGTATGTGTAAGTTAAGAAGAAATATTTTGTTAATAAAAACTAGAAACTAAAAATAATAGTTATAGTACACTCGAAATGTAATGCATGGAGAGAAAGCAGCAAATATGCAAGCCAGACTCGAAAGCAAAACACAAAAAAAATCATATAAACAAATACAAATGTATATATTCCTTGTTGCATAAATATTTATATAAGTATAGAGTCAGCAAATTGTGTGTAGGGACAATTCAAGATTTATGTACCCAGGTTCTAGCTCAGCAATGCCCGTCCCATTGGGAATATTTGAACGCATTTCGTGGACGTTCGAGACATTGAGAAACCAGTTCCTAATTTAAGTATACATTTAAGATTGTTTTGGTGTTTTAGCGGGGGAAAAGGAAAACCGTAGCGTGTGGCAAAAGGGCTAAGAAATATCTATTGAATTCATTATTCCAGTTACAGATACAGATACAGATACATTTTTGTACAGTGCATTTAGCCTGCTCTTTCTCTACACGCACACTCCGCATATACTATGTATATTAGATGCTTAAATAGTTGAAATCTTGGTGGTATGCATAGGGGTTTTATTCTTATACAATTGGGTATTACCATTTACTCACATACAAACTAACGTCTATGAGAAGCTATTGAAGAAGTGGCGCGTGGGGCGAGGCATAGATCGGGAGACTGTAAGAGCTGAGGGGAAGCGAAAGTTGGTTTTGGCAGTTGGTTTCGTTGCGCGTTACATCAATTAAAGGCGGGTGTGTGGCTTCTCCACCTACTCCCACTCCCACTCCCACTGCCACTAATTCTCATCCATTCCGGAGTGGGAGCCGCAGCTGGGGCTGATGGCGTATGCATTTGGAATACGATTACGGGTATGGGCATGCGCATGCGTATGGGTATTGGCATTGTTATTGGAACACCAGGCCCATGGACGAGCTCCTAAGCTGCTTGGCTCTGCTGAGGATTGGCTGTAGTGGCTGCTGCCGCACCGGGATTACTGGTAGCAGTTGTGCTGCTGGCAGTAGCCTGTGCCTGAGTCTGCTGCTGATCGGTGCCGTCAAAGTAATCCGAGGCATTGCCACGGCAAATGGGGCAAGTGCGATTGGACTGTAGAAGGCGATTAATCTATTAGTTGTTGTCTCCGAGCTCTGATGACAAGCTTGAACTCACCCTTAGCCATTTGTCCACGCACTTGGCATGGAACTCGTGGGAGCAGGGCAGGACACGCAGAAGCTGCTTCAGCTCGAAGTCGCACATGCAGACCACACATGAAGTTTGATCGCCTGCAAGAAGAATAAAGTTTTCTAGACAGTTTCCTCACTGCATTTGCTGTACCCTTACCATTGTGCACTTCCGGATTGTATTTGTAGCTGGGCAGCTGATCGATCTCGTTGCGTGTGAGACCGCGTGGCTTGGCCTCTCCCAGGCGCTCGGCCAGACTTAGCAGCGCCTCGTAGTTCTCCGTCTCATTGGTATCCCCGGAGCTCAGATCGTGTTGGTTGTATGGCGATAGCGGGAACATGGCCCTAAAAAAGAGACGTCACCCACAATTAGTTATTCGTGAAGATCATTTAAGCCGGCGTAAACCTACAGGAAGTTGAGCAAGAAGCCCGGATTGATGATACCGGCCGTTGTCTGTATTTGCACGGGCGCCTGATGGGCGGCCAGTGACTGCGGCGGCAGGACATGCCGGTGTCCATGGTTGGCGGGCCAGAAGCGTGGTATGCGCCGATGGGGCGGGAATGTACGACGCTCCGATGAGATGATGATCTGCTGCGGTCCAGCCGACATCTGCGACAGTTGTCCAGCGGCCGCGGCCGCTGCCGCCGTGGAATGTAAGTGGTGAGTGGCCGCCGCAGCGGCAGCCCCGCTAATTGGCGTGATGTGAATGCCGGGCGGCAGCTGGTGTGGATGGGCGTGGGCATGTGTGTGCGCGTGTGCGTGTGCGTGGGGGTGCGCATGCGGTCCTGGAGCTGGTCCGGCGCCTGCTGCATGGTGCCCGTCCATGTGGTGGGCACCCGGCGGGTCAATGGGCGTCAAGTTGGCCACGGCGATGGCGGCAACGTCTCGCTGCTGCTGCTGGGCCGTGAGCGTGGCCTGGGCCAGCATGTGCTGGGCAGCGGCAGCAGCGGCGGCCATCTGGGTGGGTGTCGGCACCTGGGTCACCTGCATGGGCGTGGCGGCGGCCAGACCGGCCGGGGCGGCGGGGAAGGGCTGCGTGTAGACGCCGTGCAGATGGCATGGGGCCAGACGTGCCTGTGCTGGCATCGGGTAGGTGCAGAAAGAGGCCCAGAAGGGCTCCTGGCGCAAAGCCAGGCTAACGGGCACCTGGTTCAGGTTGAGGTCTACCATCAACGAGGCGGATGGCGGCGGTGGCGCATAGCCCACCGTCTGCTGGTGGCTGGGCGGCTGTGGCGGTGCCTGCACCTGCTGCAGTATTGTCCCCACCGAGCTGCTCGAAGGTCCTCCGCCGCCTGCATTGCCACCCGGCATTGCTCCATTGCCCCCGAGTTCCCAAGGGGAACGCTGCGGATGCGACGGCTGCTGCTGTTGGGTCGCATAGGGCTGCGGCTGATGTTGATGGTGGTGCAGCTGGTGGTAATTGGGCGGCTGCTGTTGCGGCTGGTGGATCTGCTGGGCGTATTGCTGCTGCCCCGTGGACGTGGCCACATCCCGCAATCGCGGTCGACGCAGTGGCGGACTTCCCTGCTGCATCTGGAGAGGGTCACCAAATATTTTAGTGAGTTTATTGCGAATCTCGTGTCAAAACTCACCTGGGCAAGAAGGCATCGATGTGGTGGCTGTGCACCGCCCTGAGGGCGGCCCGAAATGCGACGTCGCTTGCGCGAGGGACTGTCCGAGTTGAGGCCAACGGGTCCGTTGTTGAGCGAGAGCGTGGAGCCCGATAGCCCAGACCCAGAAGGCATCTCACCCATTAGGCCCGGACCACCTGTTGATGTAGATGCACCGTTGTTGTTGTTGTTGCTGTTTCCATAGCCATTGCCCATGTGCTGATAATGGGATCCGTTACGACCATAGCCAGTGGCTGGGCCTCCGCCATTGCGCATAAAATTATACGACGATCCCTCCGAGCGATGGTCGGGACCACCTTGATCCAGATTGCCAAAGTGCTGAAAGAGATGAAGATTAAAGGACTGGAGTAGAATTGTGTGCAGGGATAAACCCACGTTATTGTTGTTGTTGTTTAGATTCCTGTCATTGTAGCTGCGCTGATGGTGGCCGGGATTGTTGTGACTGTTGTTCATGGCTGCGGCTGCATTGCTCAGATGGTTATCGGTCATGTGGCGACGATTGTGATTGTGTCCATTGCTGGCGTAGTCCCGCGACAGTGCTGGACACACGCCACCTCCGCGACGATAGTTCATGTAATCGGGTGGTCCGTTCACATTACCGTTAGCGATGCCATTTCCATTGCTGTTACCAATACCGTTATTACTGTTGATGTTGATTCCATTGCCATTGCCATTGCCATTGTTATTGCCTCCGCGTTGGTTGTAGCCGCGCTGCTGGTGGTGACTGTGACTGTGACTGGGTCCGGAGGAGGAGCCCTGTCCCTGGTTGTGGCTATTGATGGGTGCGGATGCAATATTAATTTGATGTTGTTGTTGTGGCAGCATTGACGACGAAGACGACCCATAAGGAATTATATCGGTACAAGAATTTACATTCACAACATCAGTAGGATTACTATTTGTTGTTGTTTGTGGATTGGTTGAATTGAAAGTTGTTGCGTTTGTTGAATTTGAATTCGAATTCGTTCGTGTTAGCGGGAGGGATTGGCGATTAGTCTGTTGCTGTGGTTGTGGCTGATTGTGTTGTGGATTGTGTTGGTTCTGATGTGGGATTTGTGGATGATATTGATGTGGATGTGGATGGGCATGATTCTGACTACGAATGGCCAAGAAATTATGAAGTGGATGTGGATGGGAACGGGCAGGACTGATGGGACCAGTGGCAAAGGACACTACAATAGGCGAGTGACGTTGGTTGGGTGGCGAGGGCGAAGGTTCCGATGCGGGACCAACAGTCAGACACAAGCGGGCGGGATTCAGTCGGACCACGGACACGGACATGTGGGTTTGTGCCCCGCTGCTGTGGCAAATGTCGTAGTAGTTGACATGCGGATTTGGATTCAGATTAGGAATTGGATAATTGGGAGCTCGGCTGCTGTGGTGGTTCTGTTGTGTGGCTGCTCGCGAGCCGCTGTTGTGGTGAGTATTGCTACTACCGTTTGGCGAGTATGTTGAGTATGCGTTCGAGGGGGGACGGTAACTGTTATACTGAGGTGGGGCAGGGTTAGTATGCGGATGGATTTGGGACTGGGACTGAGACTGAGATGGAGATTGAGGGTGCTGGTGATGAGTGGTAGTGGTGGTGGTGGTTGTGGTGGTAGTGGTGTGACCTTGACTGTGGCCGCTGTGGTGGTGATGATGATGCGCTTTGCTATTGTTATAAATACAAGTTCCGCTAGAATTACTTGTTTGTACATCGCTGGATTTTCGATTTAGGTTTGCAGTTGCGTTTAGATAATATGTAATACATATAATACGTATATAGAGAGTATAATATTCGGTTTACGAGATACAGTTGAAAATGGTTCAATCAAATCAATGCAGTAGCAGTGTGTGGTAGTATAAACACAACCCATATATAGTTATTTTGTATGCATATACATGTACAGGTAGTAGGTAGTAGTAGTAGTAGTAGTAGTAGTAGTAGTGTACATATGCAGAGTGGTAGCCACACACATATACGTTATTTATATAGTTTTTTATTTTGCAGTTTTTTCGGTTTTGTTTTGTTTTTTTTTTTTTATGAAGAAGAAAGAAAAACGAAAAAGATAAAAATAATATATATGTAAATGGCAAAATGCAATAATTAGATTATTAGTTTAATATAGATATATATATATATTTAATATCAATATGTACACACACATAAATATACGTGGTATAGCGGCAATGCGTGCATATGCAGTCGAGTCTACTACGGCGGAGTAACAGTAATAGTAACAGTAATGGTAATGGCAATGGTAATATGTGAACTAGAGTATATAGCATATTTATTCCCGATACATGTAAGATCCAATGGCCGATGTCTATATGTTCTGCATATGCACGCATCTGTACTAAACACACACCATATGCATTTTTAGTATTAAAAACAAATACGTACGTACTAATTTGCTTTCACATCGTTTGCTTTTCTATTTGTCTTTTTTGGTTGAATGATTGGTTTTAAATGCATTTTAGATGGAAATTTTGTTAGTTTGCTATTTTATTTATTTATTTGTTTTTCTGCTTTGCTTGAATGCACACTACGCTTTTACCAAAACGGAAATCAAAACAACAAAATGCCAATCGCACACTCTCTTCCGTACGAACGGAACGGAGCAGAAACAGAACGGAACACAATTGAACGTAACGTAATGTAACGACAACCTGAACGTAAGACAACGCTTTTGGCCGGGCGCACTAGCTAAACACGAGACGAGAGAAAATGTTGGATACGTACGAGAATATATGTATGTATTTTTTTTTTAAAGAGAGAGAGGTATATATATATATATATATGTATATACATATATATAGAGAAATAAGAGAGAGAGAGTGCTGGTCATGCTCCAAAACTATACAAAAGAGAAACGCAAAACGTAAATAAACTGGTACAAAAAGAGCTTGTATATGTACTATAGGTAAGTAAACTCGAGCCTTTTCAGCCGTGTGCGCTGGAGAGAGGTGGATGGATGTCCTCTGCATAACGAGTCGTAGGCGCAACCGTAACCGTAATGTAACCGCATGCGAATGCAAAGCTTTGACAAATACTTAGCGGGGGGTGAGAACATATCCGAGTGATCGGGGACGCTATCTATACAATATGAAAATATATATAGCTATACACATATATGGCACGTGGCAAGAGAGATAAAGATGGAGAGAGAGAGAAAGAGGGGTGGGACGCTGGTCAAAGGGGAACGTAGGCGTGTCTAAGCGCCAAACATAATCGTGTCAACGGCAACACTTACGGACTAGATGCAAAAGCTGCAATTGCGATTGCAACTGGCTATAAACCAAATACAAAACAGAGTAGAATGACAAATCATACAGAATACAGAGTACTGGATAAACAGAGTGTGACAAAGACCAAAGACTAGAATGCGTTACTGTACACAGACACACACGTATACGTATACAAACAGTAGAAGAGTAGAGAGAGAAGAGATAATTGCAGTGGAAATAATAATGGGGGAAGGAAGAAGTAGTAATGTGTGTAAGAAATGCTCGAACGCATGTACTAAGTACTACATATGTATTTAAAATAGAAAAAAATACATATGTTAGTTGATTTGTCCGGCACGATTACGAGTACGAGTACGAGTATTGGTACATAAGTTGGTAATTTGTTGATTTGCACTGTTTAGGTTTAATTAAATCATTTCAGTTGGTTTTGGAAGTTCTATTGGGTACATATAAACTGTTGGTTAAACATTCTAAGCCGCAGTGTGCAAAATGCAAATAAATAAGTAAAACATTAAGCTGAGTTTGTTGATCATTTCGGTAAGATATTTATGCATTTCCGATTCGGATCTCGGAAGGACTAGGACTGGACTGGACCTACTGCAGGTAAGCAAATTACATCAATCAATCCATCAACATATTAAGTATGTACTTAGCTATCAATCAAGAAACTCAACTAAAATGCATATCATTCATAAAATGTTGAATTGAAAAAAATTACAACTATTTACGGTACGGTTTGGATAAAGAGGAAATTTTGTAACTAAATTCATACTTGGCTTGCACTTTTTCACGCTTGCATTTCATATAAGTAAATACGATTAGTATGCGAATCTGTTTAACATTTTGTTCCGACTGGTTGCTTTGTTTGATTCTTGTTGCTGGATAGTTTTAACGTATAGCATTGAACTTGAAGCGAAACTATGCGCAAAACGAAAATAATCTTAACCAAATAATAAATACATGTTTATGTATGTATGTATGTATGTAACGGTAATTCAAACAAAATCAGTAGGGTGGATTCGAGTGGGCCTGTGGTTTGGGTTTTGGGATCGTGACTGCGATTTTAATGAAGTCAGAAAGATACTCTTGGGAAGAATTACAATTTCAGTGTTTAAATAAAGAAGAGTACAACTCGGTAGGAGAACCGTGTAGGTCCATTATGGGTACATGGTAGTACATAGAGCAAACAATTTGCAAATCAAATAAATGCCCATCCAAAAGCTTAGAGCTTTCGCTGCTCCCATATGTTGTGTTTGTATGTTTGTATATTCAGTTAGTTCCCTCTTTTCGGTGATGCATGAAAAGCACTTACACATGCACATAACCATATGTACCGTTTATTTTGTTTCAGCTGGCTACGCTCTTTCCCCTCGAGGTTCTTTAGCATGTTTCCGCAACCAATTTTAGATAAATAGAATAACTTAGATTTAAAATACGTATTCTACGGACGAGGCTGCTAACTATTTTGAACAAAGCGAACATCTTATGGCGGTAGAGTGATTGTGGTACCAGCTACCAAAACGAGACAGTCAGTGTGAAGGAGAGAAAGGGATTTCGATGGCGATTAAGGTTAGTCTCCTCCCCGGAGGCACACTTGGCAGTCAAGGATGCTGGATAGTGAATAGTGTGAGAAAGGTGGAGAGGGAGAGAGAAAAATAGGGAGAGCATGCTGGTAAGTAGATACTTATGTATGGAAGTCCGTCAGGCGCGCGCTTTACTTAAACTGAATAAGCTTTTTGGAGAATGAAATGACTACGAAACTGAAGAGAAAGTTCTACGTACAAATGTAATAAGTTTTGGTCGCCATTTTCAAGTGCTTTTCATGCATTTTCTTGGGGAATTATTTTGGTTTTTTCGGTATACGCAACATTGAACGTTCTTTAAGTGGTTAAAATCGAAATAAAGAGTTTCTGATTCTGTTATTACGATATCTTCTACGGAATTTCACACTTTTCAAATGCTTGTATTGGAGTAGAAGCGGTTAGAGAATTGTACATACGATTACATTTATTTAAATTTGAAGTCAAACAACAAAAAAGAACTCTGTTCTTGCTGTGGTGTGTGATCGATCGTGTGTGTGTGTGTTGTGTGTGTGTGGGTAGGGGTAGGGATGGTATGTAATGTGAATGCAGAGATATGTATGTATGTATGTAAATACAACGATAATTAGTATTCATGGTAATTATGTGGATTAAATGTGCCAATCTCGACGAAGAACAAAACACAAAATGTACAGTACGCAAGAGAGAACGTAAGAGAGTTACAAATGATCAAGAAGTAACAGTAACGGTATTTTCATTATTTTATGTGGCGCCATCTGTGATGGCGATGCAAGCTTTTGTTTATTATTTAGTGCTTCGAAAATTCAACGGTTAGGACCAATCATATCTTTGGTTTGCTTTGATTCAATTTGAATTTTACTACACGCGATATTAATTACAAAATTCTCCCTTTAGCCTAAAAGCGATTTTCGATTTTGATTCGATTTCATTTTAGGTGTGGTTACGAAGTAGATAGATAGAGATAGAAAGTAGAGAAACTGTTCTAGTCGTTGGGAGGAGCGTGGTAGGGGAACGAGTTACAAGGACATGTTTTGTTATTTATGGCAGATCGAGGCATCGAGGATGGGGATCGAGGGGAACTCGGGAGCGGACGGGGGTTATTTCAAATTCGCTTTTATGTCACTTAAAGCTAACATAAATTCGACCGATCCTCGGGATCGAATCGAGTACAAAATATCTAACGCAAGCGCCTCTCGGCTCTTACCAATTTGAGTTTCGGCCGTCGATTGCATCTTTGTTATTGTTGGCGTTGTTGATGCTGCTGCCGCTGTTGTTGTTGATATTGTTGTTTCCGCCTGTTTCATTGCCACGCCCCATCACATTGATATTGCACCAGGGACTGTGGCCCGGCAGAAGGCTGTTGCTGTTTGATCGCTGCTGTTGCAGCTGCTGCTGCTGCTGCTGCGACTGTTGCTGCGAGTGCGGATGAAGATGTGGATGGGGATGCGGCGAGTAAAGCATTCGTCCGCCGCCACCGCCGCCGCCACGATGTGAGCGGGCCGAGGAGGAGTTGCGAGAGAAGGGCCGACGACTGCTGCCCCCATGATTGTTGTTGTTGTTGTTGTTATTATTATTGTTGTTGTTATTGCTGCCACCATTGGCATTGGAGTTGAGCATGACGTTGCGCTGCTCCCAGAGCTTCTGGCTCCTCGAATATGGTTCGACGCCTGCGATGGAGTGTCCGAGTCCTAGTCCAAGTCGACCTGACCTATTCCCCACTTACTTGTGTTTGTTTGCTGCTGATGTGTCTGCTTGTTCTGTGGCGTTCTTACTCTTTTTCGACTTGCAAAACCAAACTTGCTTTTGCTATATTTACGCAGCCTGTGGGGGGTGTAGAAGAAAAGAGGAAACCGCTTTTACAGTCAGCTGAGCTCGAACAGTTACTTTTTTGGTTTGGTGTTTGGTTTAATTTACTTTTGGTTTATTTGATTGTATGTAGGAAGGTAATCTAAGCCGGACACCCGCGCTCCAGAACAGAAAGCAAACAACCAACAAGCCAACATGCTCAATAAACAAAACATTTATGGTTCTCTAGTAGGCAAAATACATACTTACTTACACATGTATATGTATGTAAGGATAATAAAATATATACGTATATATTTATATATGTTTGTGTTTGTGTGTGTGTGTGTTTATGTGTTTGGCTGGCTATATGTAAATATGTAAATATTCATTGGAATCGTAATAAATAAAACAGCAACAATTTTCAGTTTCGTTCAACAGTGTAGCTTTAATATATTGTCAATTATATGGAACTGAGATGAGATACGTGCGTGGTTAGTCTTTCAACTAAATGTATACGAGGACGGACCCGAGACTTAGGTTGGTTACAAGTACGAAAACTAACGATCTCTGGGATCGAATCGAGGTACGATTTAAACGATTTTTACAATTTATCCGGATCTTTAGATTTAAAATTAGTCAGTCTTGTGTTGAGGTTGGAATATTCGAGTAAATTTTCGTTATTTCCAATTTTTAGACGTTGCTCTTTCCCGAACGAATCTAAAAACTTCGTTGTTCTCGCACCCTTTCGTTTTCGTTTTCTTACTTGGATCAAAATGTCTAATCTTCAGTCCATTCCCGTATGTACATACATACATACGTATATACGATATTGATATATGAAAATACATTACGATATATATATAGTAGTTAACAGTTAAACATATGTATGTGTTTGTGTAAATGTGAGTAAAGTAAGGTAAAGGGGTACTCCTTCTGAGATAAGTGTGATAAGCAAGAACAACAAAATTGTACACTTTCAGTGATTCCAGTTTTTGAGTTGTTAAACACGATAACCTATCGTTAAGCGCTCCCCCTCCCATCATACATCATACATACGATATTTATCTCTATGGGTGTGGATGTTGTGTGCTTACATGAACAAGTGTTGGTTGTAAAGTAAACAGAACAAATTATTAGTGGGGACAGTGGAAATGGGTATTGGGTTGGTTTGCTTCGGGGAATATGGATGGATGGTCAATGGGTGTGGGCAGGGTGGCAGGATGACTGATTACAAACTTATCACTTATCGCTGTGTAGGCGGGGCAGGGGGCAGTTAGTACAATTGAAAGAATCCAGATCAGAGAGCGACAGATAAAGAGGTTTACACTTAACGTACATGTGTTTGCGCTGTATTTGGGTTGTGTGTTGGGGGGATATGTGCTCTATAAGTAGGTAATATACTATGTAAATACTACGCGTAAAGTAGAAAACGAACATGTGCAAAGTAAAAAACAAACAGTGTGACAGAGTTGTGTAGTTATATTGTAAATATTATATATGGATGGGGGGGTTAGATCGTATTGGAACCATTAAAAAGGAACGTAGGACGAATACAAATAAGTACAGGATGGCTATTCCAAAATGGTACATGTTTAAAATATTTTGTTGTACTTGGTACATAGTCTTTTGTTTTTTTCGTATTCTACGGGGTGGCCAAATGGAAGCTGCAAACCTCTTTCACGCTTTTGGTGTATTTATCACTTCATTCTTTCTTGGGTTTGCAGTTCCATTGGACCATGCTTTATGCTCTTTAATTCTTTAATGCTTTAAAAATGTACAAAAAACAAGCTTACAAACTAAAGCCGCTCTGTCGCCAGTTGCAGTAGACGGTTGATAGATTGGTTGGTTGGTTGGTTGGTTGGTGGTTGATTTTTTGGTTGGTTGAGAGGTTTGTTGGTTGGTTTTGGTTTCGGTTTCGGTTTCATAGGCAGTACGAGAACTATGCGTATACATATATAAGTTGGCTAGTCAGCTTGAGCTTTGGGTGTTGAGTAGAGGTTGAGGTGTGTGCAGTTTTTAATTCAGTTTTGCAGTTTGCTTTGCGGTAGTTGGTCAGTGAGATTGAGATACAGATACAGCAATGACAATGTCAACGGCAAACGGCAACGACAACGGCAACGGAAATGGCGGTCTTATGTGCTACATATGTAGTATGTATTTAGTATACACTTCGGTTTGGTTTAGTTGTTGATATTTCAGTATCGGTTTGTTGTTTATTTTTACATGTGGATATATACGAGTCGAGTCAAAAAAACACTTGATGATCGGTATTCATTGAGAGACGTGTGTGTTAAAGAAGCGGGAGCACGTCTGGCCACGGCCGTTAAAAATGCAAATTTACCACCAAAACCAGCAATAAAATATTGTATGTATGCTAAAAACAAAGAAAATAAAAGTAAAAGAAAACATTTGCTATTACATTCGGTTGAGTTGAGAAAACTAATTACTGGGATTCTGATTTTGGACTATTATTCTTGTAGTTTTGTTAGCATTACAGTATGTATGTACGAGTATATGTATGTAGGATAATATTCAAATATATTAACTATATAAGCCTTGTTTTTAATTGCGGCCAATGAGTAGCGAATGCCAATGTTATATAAATTAGATGTAAGAAAGTAGGCAGGGCAGGCAATAAATACATTGTACAAATGCTGGACTATTATGACGATTATGGTTGTAATTGTGGTTCAATCCGTGTGACTTAAAGAACAGACCGGCGGGTAGAGCTAGAAGTGCGTGCGACTGGAGCGAGGGGAACGAAAGTGCTTGGGGCAGGGTCGGTCTCGGCTGGACGAACGACAGAGTGCCAGTGCCACCCCTCCCTCCAACACTCTTAAAATTAAAACAATAAATTATACAAAAATATATACATACATACATACAGACAAAGTATTCCAGAGTCCGGACTCCGGAGCCCCACCAACGCACACACACCAGCAAAGGCTATCACAGACGGACGAGAGCAAGAGCAGCTGGAGAGCGGTGAGAAATCCAGAGAGCCCCACACAGACACACACTTGCACGCACACAAAGAAAGTAAGAGAGAGAGAGAGAAAGAGAGAGGACACTGGTGTGCGTCGTCTCTTGTTGTTGCTATTGCGTAGTCATGGCAGTCAACTTCATCGACGACTGCTCTTTTTTTTCGTTACACACATTCGATTATATGAATATGTGAATATGTATACTATGAAAGCTCGCTGGCTGGTTTTTTGGCAATTACAATAGCGTTTCAAAATACGATGATGGGGCACATTGTGCCTGTGTCTGTATATCCAATATTCTGCACATATTCATATGTATGTATAGCATATATGTTAATATTGGCTCCCTATCAAAACATGTTCACGACTACACTTTACACACGCACACACACATTTGTTGATGGGGCCAGAAAATAAATAATATTACACACCAGACTCTAGCGTAACTAATGCCAGCCCGAGCTCGCTGAACGCAGACAAAGACGCAAATGCTTCTTTCTCTCTTGTGGCTGTAGCTCTGAGTATAGATATGGATGGAAAATCGAAACTCTGTGTCCAAAGTGCTCCCCCCGCAACAGAGTACGGACAAAATCAACACAAGTTCACACACTCACATTCACATACACACACAAAGTGTGAACTCACAATGACAACCACTTCGTCACCAGCAGATAAAAAATAAGCTGGCATTAAACAATTGCGTTTTATGTAATTTCACTACATACATACTTTAGCAAAGGAGCACAATTTATATTACACAGTACCGCAACATAAATTCGATATTGAATCCAAATTGCACTTGATTAACAAAGAAATTTTCTATATTTTTTTGGGAGTTTACCTTTTCTCGACCTGACCAGTGCGACCGCATTTTTATCGATAAAATATATCGACAGACCCTCGGAAATATACCGAAATATTCCCTTGCATTTTTTAAATATACGAAAAATATACCGTGAATATACACATTTTTTCTCGATTTTGATGTTCTTATTATATTACCAGCTAGTTAAGTATCTCCCCGCTAAAACTATAATTTTATACGATTTATCAATCAATTCTTCACAAGAATGACTAGTTTTCGCGACTTCCTCTTGTTGAAATGGCTACCAAACTAAAAAGGTCAACCAACAAAAAGAGCATAAAACGTTACGTGAGTGGGAACGGACTCCCATACAATTTATGTTGCCAACGGTAAAATACGTAATTGTAGATGGAATTCAACGTTATAGACATTTGGACATTTGATTGAAATTCCCATGTTGCAGGAGAGAAACTTCTCCAGGGACATTTGGAAAACATGCGAATACCCTATTTTATTGAATATTGAATACCTTAACAGTTAATATAATAGACCGATGTAATTCATTAAATCTAGCATTATATACCGATGTACCGTAAATATATAAAAAGGAATTTAAAAATATATATATATAGTTCATATAAATGAAAAAAATAGTCTGAAAAGTGTTACGAACCTGTTTTGGTGTTGGGGCAAGGCCGGCTAGCCAGTCATCCCAGGGCTGAGTTCTTCCCAGGCCCCCAGGTCGCACAACAAACCAACTGTTCGGACATCTCGAACAAATATCAAAAAACAAACGATAATTCAAAACAATGCATCGGACTTTACTCTACATCTAACGGACAAACATCTCTCCACCCCAGACGTGGACAAGTCTGAGGTGCCGATGGTCTAGCTCCTACGTACTCTACCTGAGATGCGACTCAGAATACCTCAGCTCTCCTTCCCAAGTGTGGCGGACTTTCTCCATTTCGCCGCTGTGGTCCCCTTTCCCCCCCATACTAAACACGCTAGCACTTCATTTTAAACGTTATAATATTTAAACCAAAAACTTAACACATACTTAACTAAAAATCCCTATACTAATGTCTCGTGGCGCGTCCGCCTATTCCCGACTCTTCAACTTAAATTAATGGGTGGGAATAATCAAAAAAATTAATAAATATAAATAATAAAATAAATATAAATACAAATACTACATTTATATTACATTAATATGGTCGGTAAATATATATGGGGTGGCAAATTAATTAAATCTTAATTAATATAGACAGATATTATTTTTTTGTGTTTTTATATACGCATGTAAATAGGTATGCGTTTATGTAGGCATAGATTAATTATATTAATTGTCGCTGGGGCTNCGAACAAATATCAAAAACAAACGATAATTCAAAACAATGCATCGGACTTTACTCTACATCTAACGGACAAACATCTCTCCACCCCAGACGTGGACAAGTCTGAGGTGCCGATGGTCTAGCTCCTACGTACTCTACCTGAGATGCGACTCAGAATACCTCAGCTCTCCTTCCCAAGTGTGGCGGACTTTCTCCATTTCGCCGCTGTGGTCCCCTTTCCCCCCCATACTAAACACGCTAGCACTTCATTTTAAACGTTATAATATTTAAACCAAAAACTTAACACATACTTAACTAAAAATCCCTATACTAATGTCTCGTGGCGCGTCCGCCTATTCCCGACTCTTCAACTTAAATTAATGGGTGGGAATAATCAAAAAAATTAATAAATATAAATAATAAAATAAATATAAATACAAATACTACATTTATATTACATTAATATGGTCGGTAAATATATATGGGGTGGCAAATTAATTAAATCTTAATTAATATAGACAGATATTATTTTTTTGTGTTTTTATATACGCATGTAAATAGGTATGCGTTTATGTATGCATAGATTAATTATATTAATTGTCGGTGGGCTGTGGCGGGTCGCGCCCGAGCAGGGGTGTGACCAGGATTCCGCGGGCCGGGGAATGGTAATTTTGGCCCATCTACGAGAAGCCAGCCGATACAATTTATGCCCTATGGGTTTTAAAAATATTGAATCTGGGATTCATTTTCCCTTTGGACTGGACTCACTTTTTCTTTCGATTCGGGTAAAAGGGTCCTCTACGTTGGCCGGTCTTTCTTTTTCCTAAACGGTCACACACACAAAACGCACTAACACTGCCGATGTCTATTTTTCCACTGCCGGCATGTTCAGCGTAGCTACTCTACGCAGTCCCCCTTGCTGCAGTTGATCTCATCTCTTCTACTGCCCTTGAACCAAATTCAAGGGCATAGCATGGCATTCTTGAGGGTGTGGGTGAGCTGGCTCGTGGATCCCGCAATATTCCCCTCCTTTACATTCTCCCGCTCTCTCACCGGCACCGTTGATCGCCTTGCCCCTTCGCCTATCGACCTATCAACCTCCCAAAAAATACTACCAAATCTAGTATTTTGCATATCGCTCTCCTTCGAATGCAACAAAAGTTTATAAAATACCTGGAGTTTTTCTTTTCTCGACCTGACCAACCAGTGTAACCGCGTATTTATAGCTCAAATATACCGTCGGAATCTCTATATACTAACATATTGAAGAAAAATACTATGAAGTACCGATATCTTAACCCACTCAGCACCCCTCTGTTTAAACTTGAGTGAAATATCAACGATATTTGAATTGCGCTTAAATGTTTCAAGTTTCCCAATATTCACTCATACACTTGATTTTGTAACTATTTTTGCAAAAATTCATTGCCATGGCCCTGATAGTGTTTAAAAATCTATGGATGAGATTTTTAAAGCCAGCAATGGACTGTGCCGAAGATAGAAAATCTCTATAATTATGTTAATCAGCATTCAAAATAATTAAGACACTTAAACTCTGGCATGCGTAAATGATCAAAGCTTAAAATAAAATGTTGGTCATGTTCAAAAGGAATTATTTCCATCAATGGCAGGAACGATGCGGTGCCAGCTGATGATCTGTACGGTCATTGGATTATTCCCAACATTCAACATAAAATATAACGTAAATATATTTAAAATGTAATCAATTGGACAATGGTGAACCCACTTTACAGGATGCCGTCGTATTCAATTCAGGAACATAGTCATAGGGCCATTCGACGTTACCTTTGATGCCTGTCAGTATTTCCGAAAGCGCAGGGCGATTATTTGTTGTCGGTTCAGTGGTAATTCGATAAGAAGAACCAATTTGATACTGCAGAGTAATTAAACCAACAATGAATTGGGCAGAAGATCGGATACATATCTCTATAATTATTGAAAGCAATCAAAGGCAATTAAACTCAAATAAAGAGTAAATGTTCTCATCCAAATGTAATTTTTTCGCTCAAAACCAGGAGCGATGCGGTGTCAAATGGTGTTCTGTGTGGTCATCGGACTATTGCTAACATTTAACATCAATTTTCAGGTAAATATATGTAAAATACTAATCAAGTGTAGGCTAAAGAACAAAGTTTTCAGGATGCCGTCATTTTCAAGTTTACGAACATCGTCTGTGAGAGCTACAATCAATCGTGGGTCGTGTTCCGATACTGTCGCCTGAAGGCTGTCGGTCGGGACAGGGTTCATCTGAACGTAAATGCGACGATACTTTATCCAGCATATAACATAACAAATCATGGAAAGATATTCAAGAGAGCAAGTGGCTACAAGCCCTGGATTTTGGACACCACTGTGGATGCCTGTCGATTTGTGCGCAAGAATTACGATCCATTTGCCAAAATAGTCTTCAGCCTTTTTAAAAATTTCTCAAACATCAACCACACTTGTCCGTTTGTGGTAAGAACTTCATTTTATACTCAGTGCACTCAAGATTTCTAGTTCTTCTCTATTTCTTGTTATAGGGACACCAAATATTGAAGGATTTTTATCTTAAGCCCGAGCTGCTGATTCTGCCCTTTCCCACCGGCGATTATATGCTGTCTATGCGCTGGTACTTTGGTAAAAGGCTGCAATTTGATACCAATGTGAGCTTCGTGTTCGTGGAGGATCTCATCAAGAGCTAATGGTTGGTTGGAGGCACCTACAGCAGATCCTTGAAGATCCGCAGATGCAAATAATAAAATATAAACTGCAAGCAATTAATCTTCCCATTTGTTAAATATGTGCAATGCGATTTTGTTTACAAAGCCAAAAGATGCGCTTTATGTGAGTAATGTGAGTGGCACTGCTAACCAATTGCTCCATGAATATCTATCAAGAATAATCCCTATGATTCACATCATTTTCTATAATTGAGATACCATCAATCATCAATATGTCAAGCAATGTTAAATGGTATTGTCCACATTTAAAAGACTCTGTCATGCGGAAAAATGTAAATTATCTAACTCGTCACTAAAGTATTACTTATTGAGACAAATAAGATTCGTCTCGATGTTTTTAATAGCCAATAAGGTAAGTTTATAGATAGATAGTCCATCTTGTTGAATCAGTCGATTTCAGACACTATCAACAACTTTAAGTTATAGTATATCCAAATGTACATATGTTCAGATTGATGTATGTATGAGAGAGATATAAGAAAACTGATATGCATTCCGGATCAGAGAATCTAGAGGATCTAGTGAAGGGCAGGTAGCAGGTAGCAGGTAGTCCTGCAGACTATCACTGAAAGGCCACAGATACATCTAATGTATATATGTATATATGTAAGTACGTACATACATATGTACATATTTAGTTTCAGTTATACAAAACAAATTGTAGCCATTTACCATTGGGATGCAGTCCAGGCTGAGCAACAAATTTCAGTCTGAAAACTGCAAATCTATCTGCACTAATCGAACTTAGCTTTGTTTTAAATTAGATACTATCGATGTTCTGTGGAAGTAATTCAAGTAAAGTGGAATGGGATTGTCTGCCATTGAATGACTCTTTCATGCGGCAAAATGTATATTGTTAGATCCGGTACTCAAAGAGTTTTGGGGTATATCTGAAGATACGTTAGGGACTTTTCTGGGAAGCAACGGTTGCAGTGATAAAACAGCTGGAATATTTGTCTTGAGGTGAAGGAAGAACTAAAAAATTACATAAATATTATGTATAAATGATCAATATTATATATATATATATAATAGAACCCAATTGGTTCGGACTGGAAAGTATTTAATTGTAGTTATAGTTAGCGTTGGAATCCGATATGGTAGCTCGATTGCCTCAGTGATAAGCACAAGAATGCGAACAGTCTGGCAACTCCTTTTACGATCATGTACGCTTCGGACGTCCGTGTACCGTTTCTATGGGCTTATCACTGTTGGCAAAAGCAGTGCACCAGATACAAGGAACCAGCACCGCAGCCAAGGCCTGACCAGCCAGTTGCGGATAAAATGTACCACGATAGTCGTCAAACAGCAAAGGGATAAGTGTTTTGACCGGGTTCATAGACGCACCCGTCAAGTTGTTCTACACATGTTGGGAATGAAAGGGTAAAGATTTGTTGTTATTCTGTATTCTTTTCTGCCTTACCCCAGCAATGCCGCAAGCGGTCACCAACAGTCCCATTCGAATTGGGGCCGAGTCCGGGCAGTTATCATTCCGCACATCCCACAGCGCACACCAGCCCAGGACAAGCACCGATGTAAGGATGAACTCAATGGCTAAAAGTTGAAAGTTTGACAGTTCGGCCATTGGGTCGTGCACACAGACAGCCGGATAATTGTGCTCAATGACAGCCGCTGGCAGCATCGCCATGAGAAAGTAGTAGCCTGCCAGGCCGCCGGCCAGCTGACAGGCCACATAGGCCAGCATCATGTCCATGGCTATGTGGCCAAGAATGCAGCAAGAAATCGAGACGCACGGATTGGCATGGGCACCCGAAATGCAGCCAAAAACATGCACCACTATGCACACTGTCAATCCGTATTGAAAGCTGCCCACCAAGAATCCAGCCTCATCCGGAAAGCTCATCGCCACTCCCATGCAGCCGACTATCATCAGAAGTGCCGTGGCGGTAAACTCACCCATAGCCCGAGAGAAAGTGCTTACGTCTAGGATCATTGCGTCTCACCCGTGTCTGCAGTTGAAGTCTCAAGTGTGATCAACCACAAAAAAGAAAACACTGTTCTCAAACAGGAACCGATTTATGTTGAACAACAAGTTCACGGCCTGCCTTATGCATAATTCAATTGGAAAATCATAAACATAAACAAGGGCTCGTCATAACGCAAGGCTACATGTGTATTGCAGTTATTCGTACCAATACCAATGTATTTCAATGTTCCGTTTCTCACACAAAAGCAAAAACAAAGCACCGTTGAATCCACACAAAAGTAAAAACAAAGCACCGTTGAATGCGTGCCGAGCCTGCTGTGGGGAAGACCAATAACTTTTTCACCACGCACAGAGTTGACACAAGTGCTAGAAAGGGATAGAGATACAGCTATCCCCGAAAGAAACTTCTATGTGGTGAAGTGAACGAAACAAGAAAAACTTTTCTTAAAATGTTTCATGTCAATTTAATAATAAATTCGTACAGTAAAATATTTTAAAAACACTTGATTATAATTGAAAATAGTTGAAGTAAATAAATTAATGCACGGGATGAAGTGTGAAACAGATTCAATGATTGTTATAATAATAATTATTTAATGAAGTGGAAAGGCACCAGGAGAAACGGAAGCACAATTAAATTATTCGTCAAGAATCTCGGTTATTTTGGCACTCTCGGCAAACACGTCTGGTATTTCGGCATCATCGGATCTCTCGATAATGCGATGTCTCTCCGCTGCGGCCAGGCACTGGATGGCCACCTCCCGGGCCTTGGCCCGCGATTCGTCCGGTAATTGGCCGAGGCCGCTAAGCAGCTCCATGATGTCCGTCTGAAAGAGCTTCTTGGCAGTCTCCTCGCCGGAATTGATCATGTTGAGTATTACGACAATGCCACGATGCTGCACCGCGGGGCTTGGATTGGCTATCAGTGTGTGGAGTATGTCCAGCCAGCTGGCCACGTTGAAGATCTTCTCACAGCACTTGTCCGAAACGGAGGTGAGCATGGCCAAGGCTCCGGCACAGGCCATGGCCGTCTCCTCGTCCTCATCCTCGCAGAGCAGGGCCAGGAACTTGACTCGATCGTTCTCGCCCTCAAACATCTTGACCACGTCCGAGGACATCACCAGATTGCAAATGCATTGAGCAGCCGCTCGCGTCAGATGGACATGATCTTCCATCAGGTAGAACTCGATCCGGGACACTCCCTGCTCCTTGACGATGCGCTGGCGAACGCTCTCGTTCATGTTGGCCAAGTTGGTGAGTGCCATCAGCGCCTCAAAGTTCTCCAGTGCCGTGCAGTCCTGATGCAGCAGATTCAGCAGCGGCCGTATGACATCGAGCGATCTTTGGCCGCTGAACGCCACCTCTGGGTTGATCGTGATGCCGATTCTGGCCAGAGCCTGGGAGGCATGCCTCTTGCCCTTCTCCGTTCCCTCGAGGGCCATGCGCAGCAGCGCCTTAACGCCTCCATCCTGCACGACCTTTCCGCGCAGCTCCTGGAGTCCACAGACCGC